GTTGCTGTGATTAAACACTATGACCAAAAGTAACTTGGAAATAAGTGCTCTCTTTCATCTACAGGTCAATGGAGGAAACTCAAGTCAAGAGCTTAAAGCAGAAACCATAAGGGACCTCTACTTATTGGATTGCTCACAGGTTACCATCATTATATAGCTCAGACCCAAGTGCCTAGGGGTAGGAACACCCACAGTAGACACACTATCCCACTCTTGGCCCTCAGCAGCTGATGAGCCTCAAATAACAATCAGGAAAATGCTCCCACAGACATTCCTGAAGCCCAAACTGTCGGAGACAATTCTTCAGTTGAGATTCTTTCCTCCCAGGTGTGTCAAATTGGCAACCAAGATTAACTGTGCAACAGTGTGACAAACTTCCTTTCCTGTATTGCATTTCCTTTCCCTGAATCATTCAAGTGCAAGGGAGAGAAAAAGAAAGAGGTGGTTTATCATGAAAGGGAAAGCATCTCACCCAATGGGAGTAGTAACTCTTAGTGCAATTTTGATTGCATGAACAGTAAGTCCATGAGGTGCTCATTGCTCAAGAAGGATGACTTATGGGCCTGTCTTCTTAAGCAGGGAATCCAACATTAAGGAAGTCAGCTCTGTGACCACCTCTGTTAGAAAGGTCTGCATTAACAAGACCCTGAACAATGGAAATATCAATAGATTTAGTCACATGGAAGGAAGAAAGGCTCACAGGGTCCCACCCATAGACAAAGTACTATAGGCAATGAATGCTGAGAGAGATAATCAGCCTTTTCCAGAAATGAGTCCCCTGGTTGGTTAACCAATAGGGAGAGGTCAGCTCTGAAATCGTACACACACAGCTCTGAAACCAAACAACAAGAAACATAGACTCAGCGGGTTATGTTTATATATTTTGCCTATAGTGCAACAATAATCATCAAATAAAAAAGCTATCAAATCGAGAGTGATGGAGGCATTGGAGGAAGGAAAGGGAAGGGAGAAGTAATGTAGTTATATTTTTATTCATTTTAGTTGAATAGAATTATATCAATTCCCCCTCCTTCCTCCAGCCCCTTTCATGCCCCTACTGTCGAGTTGATAGCCTCTTTTTGTTGTTGTTACAGATATGTCTGTGTGTGTGTGTGTGTGTGTGTGTGTGTACAATGTATATAAATACAACCTGCAGAGTCTGGTTTTGTTTGTTTGTGTTTTCAAGGCTGACTATTCTGTATTGGACAATCAATAATGGGCTCATCCCTGAGATGTCCTAATTTTCCTCTTTACAGCATTCGCAGCTGCCTGTAGTTCTTGGAAAGACCCCATGAATCTTCCCTCTTCTACATTAACTTGCCCATTGATATCACCAGTGTCACAGTCTTGGTTTTTAAGCCATTCCTAGCCGAAACTACTTCAAGCAGACTTCTTGCTATTACAATCTTCCGGTATCCATTGAGGGTATGCTCCCCACCATCCACTGATCTTGCCTTATATCCAGTTGTGATTTTCTCTCATGGTCTCAGCTTGCTGCAGAGAGAAGCTGCTTTGATGAGGAGTAGCTACACTTAGCTGTGGGAATAAAGATACGATTTAAAAATTAGATAAAGAATTATCCTGTCTCACTCATGGGCAGTTCTTAGCTCCGATGTAAGTAACCTCAGAAATCAGGAAAGTGTGAAGGAGCCGTGTGGAGGGGAGACTTGAGGGAGTGATAGAACAAAATACAAGTGACATGAAAGTTGAAAGGGGAAAATCAGGGCAGAGACTCTAATTGGGAAGATGAAGGAGGGACAAATAATACTGAGGTCATTTGATAGCACATCACGGTTTTAATGGTAACTCCTTGTTTGATTTATGCTAGACACTATTTCATATTTCATAATGAATTATGAAAACTATAATTTCAGTTCTGTTAATATTAGAGATCTTCCCAGGAAACTTATTTACAAAAAAGTTTGCCTTCATTGGTTCTTTCCTTTTCTTTGGTCTTAAGACATTTGACAAGATTACCTTGCCTGTTGACTTTGTCACTGCTGACAAATTTGATAAGAATGCCAAGAATGGTCAAGCTACTGTGGCCTCTGGTATACCTGCTGGCTGGCTGGGCTTGAACTGTGGTACTAAGAGCAGAAAGAAATATGCTGAGGCTGTGGCTCGCGCTAAGCAGATTGTTTGGAATGGACCTGTTGAGGCTTTTGAATGGGAAGCTTTTGCCAGGGGAACCAAGTCCCTCATGGATGAGGTAGTAAAAGCCACTTCTAGGGATTGCATCACTATCATAGGTGGTGGAGATACTGCCACTTGCTGTGCCAAATGGAGTACAGAGGATAAAGTCAGCCATGTCAACACTGGGGGTGGTGCCAGTCTGGAGCTGCTGGAAGGTAAAGAACTTCCTGGGGTAGATGCTTTCAGCAATGTTTAGTATTTCCTGCCTTTTGGTTCCTGTGCACAGCCCCTAAGTCAACTTAGTGTGTTTTCCACATCTCCATTTGGTGTTAGCACAAGATTCAGCTAGTGGCAGAGATGCAGCACCAGGAACCCTTAAACAGTTGCACAGCATCTCAGCTCATCTTTACTGCATCAGGATTTGTCTACATTCTTCAAGATCCCATTTAAATCCCTTAGTGGCTAAGTGCATTCTAGAGTGCATCTATTTATATTATGCCTGTAAACGAAAGTGAACTGTAAAAGCTTTGACTAGCTTCTGGTTAGCTTGGTCACTGTTTATGATGCAGCATGGAAATAAGATGAAATTCCAGCTGCAGGTTTGGGGAAGTGGATTTACTGATTCTACCTCCGTGATCTATTTCTGACAGTCTCAGCACCATTATAGTCATCACCTTAGAGCCCTGACTGGCCTTCTCACACCCCCTCCCTAAACCCAGGCCTTCCCCTCATTGCCGCTAAACAAAGCATTATATAACACTTGTCTGACCAGGCTCTTTGCTTAAATATCCTCAATGATTTCTCTTTGCCACAAGGTGGCACTAATAATAAAACATTTATGGTCACAAAACAGAAATAAGAAGTCATTAATAATAATGCATGGTGAATTTACCAGTTAAGATGTTTTAACGTGGTTAGGACTGAAGACATACAATATTTTTTTAATGGAACTCAGTATTGAAGGTTTTATTCAACTGATTAATTATTCTAAACCAGAATGTCATCTTTTTATTTTTTCCTTTTTAATTTAAATTCGAGACAAAGTTGTTTTACACACCAATCCCAGTTCCCTCGCCCTCCCATCCTCCCCTGTTCCCCCCACCAATCTCCATCCCATCCCCTTTCTGATCTCTAGAGAGGATAGGGCCTTTCATGGGGGGGGTCTTCAAAGTCTGTCATATCATTTGGGACAGGGCCTAGGCCCTCCCCCATGTGTCTAGGCTGAAAGAGTATCCCTCTATGTGAACAGGCTCCCCAAAGTCTTTTTTTATTTTTTATTTTTTATTTTTTTTTTTTTTTTTTTTTTTTGGTTTTTTGAGACAGGGTCTCTTGTAGACCATGTTGGCCTCAAACTCACAGAGATCCTCCTGCCTTTGCCTCGTGAGGGCTGGGATTAAAGGTGTGAGCCATTACCTCCTGGCCCCAAAGTCCATTTTTTTTTTTTAAGATTTCAAGTACTTTTTTTTATTTAATTTTATATAACAGTCCAATTAAATGAAAACAAACATTTATACACAATATTTGGGAGTTTGGGCATCGTTCTTTCCAAACTACTTCCTGCTGGTAAGGGGCGCTGTCTTGGGGGGTTCGAAGAAGATTCAGATATCCTGGCTGTAGTCTGTAGGGCTGTTTTGTCCAGCTGTTTTGAATGTAGGATCAGCTTGTACTCTGTTTCAGGCGGTCTGGCGTGATCAAGCCACATTAGTCTGGAAGGAATCCACATCTTTTCATTTTCTGTGGAAACAAAAATAGAAATCCATTTCCCCAGTAACTTGTCCTTCAACTTAAACCCAAAGTCCATTCTTATACTAGAGATAAATACTAATCCATTACTAGAGGCCCCCGCAGACATACAATCTTTCAAGTTCAGCATATAGAGCAATGTATACCCAATTGGGTATGTATGAGGACTGTGAAAAGTATGGCAAGGCAATAAAGGTGAAGGCAGAGGCAATGATGGCCTGTGATGTCAAGTTAAGGTGAAGCCTGAGTATCCTCAAAAACTCAGCCTGGTACACCCAGGGATAGGGAAGGCCCTCCTGCAGCTCCCTCCCCTGGTAACATATGAAGACAACAAATACCATGTAGATGAAGTAAAGAGCAATTTGGACAATAAACATGCTTCTGCCTCTGGGTTTGAAAATGCTGAGAGCAAAAGACAAGGGTATGGTAAAGAGCTCTGGCCTTGCTATCAACTGGAACAAGATCACCACCCACAAGCATAAACCAAGAAAGCAAACTCCCTGTGCTCTGCCTCTCTGCTAGGACATGCCCATGCCTAGAGTGCTCTCCTGCTGATGGTCTAAAGTGATTTGACTTGCTGTTGATGTCAGTAGTTTGCTGCCTTTGTTCTTCAATAGTACTACCATAGTTTGCCCTCAAAGTAGGAGATGAACCTCTATCTTTAGGGCAGTCTATAATCTTAATTATGGTCTGTTCTTCCTTCTACTTCCATCAGAATCAGATGCTGTCCCATCATCTCCCCATGCTCTGTCATTCCCCACCTCCGGCTGTTCTGCCCCTCTCAGCAAACCTTGTGGCTTCAGAATCCTTGCATGTGCTCCTTATGGAGCCAGAAATGGCCACTTCCGTTCCCTCTTCTGAGACTGACTTTTAGAACCAATAATTTGGAATTTTAGCTTTATATCATCTTAGGAAAGAGGAATGGCCCAAATTAATTCAAACATTATTTGGATACCTTACTTTTTCCTAATAACCATCATCTTTATAATATTTATAGTATTTAAAATTATATTTAAAAGTGTACTTGATTACAGATGCATTGAGTTGTCATTTAACTTGGAGAATAAAAAATAGAATTTGTTAGCACAGAAAGAATGTACTAATGTCTTTTCCAATTTGGGCCCAGCAGAATGGCTCCCACGAAGAAGGGTGGAGAGAAGAAGGGCCGTTCTGCCATCAACGAGGTGGCGACCCAAGAGTACACCATCAACATCCACAAGTGTATCCACGGTGTGGGCTTCCAGAAGCGTGCTCCTTGGGCATGCAAAGAAATCTGGAAATTTGCCATGAAGGAGATGGGGACCCCAGACGTGTGCATTGATACTAGGCTCAATAAAGCCATCTGGGCCAAAGAAATAAGGAATGTTCTGTACCATATCCGTTTGTCCAGAAAACGTAATGGGGATGAGGACTCACCAAACAAGCTGTATACATTGGTAAACTGCGTGCCTGTTACCGCATTCAAAAATCTACAGACAGTCAATGTGGATGAGAACTAACCTGCTGAATGTCAAATAAAGTTGGAGAACTGCCAAAAAAAAGTACTTATAAAAGGTTTATATACAAAACAATGTTTGAAAATAATGAAAAAATAATATAACAGTATCCTCTGTCGTAATTAAGCATGAATTTCAAAGACTGGCAGGAAAGAATTTTAAAAATATAAACAAAGCACAAGAAAAAGAAATCCATCTTCTAGATGTGCTCAGCAGGGAAGGTGAGAAGAGAAAGGTTCAAATTAAGTTAGCTGTCACTTTTTGCTACATCTTAACATCATAAACGAAGTGTCCAAAAATTTATCGGTGTCTGGTTCAAGGAAAATCCAGGCATAAAGATGACACTCTCATCTGCTCTGCTTCTGGCGAAGAGAGGCCACAGCAGGAGACTGACAGGTGGCATTGGCAGTCCTCCAAGGCTGGGGTTTCAGTACCACATCATGGCTGTCTCCTTGCAGTGTGTGAACACAGAGAAGCCCTCCCCTACCACCTCCAAGAGGGTCCTCTCTAGCTGCGTTAGGCATGTGGTCCATGTTCTGTAGTCACTCAGCCAGTGGCAAGTGGCCAGCTACTTGAGATTGAATCCAAAAGAGATCAGAGTGTGACTTCACAGCAGGATCACACCAAGAAGAGAGGGCACTTGCTTGGAGAATTGAACTTGCCTCTCACTGTAAAAGAATTTTAATCCCTTTAAAGCCTTGATCCAAGGAATTTATTATACATGTTGTAGCAAAATTAATCAGATAAATGAAATGTTTGGGTTTAAGTAGAAAGAAGAACTTAGTTGTAAAGTCCCTGTGACAATTTGTAAATTTAATATTCTACCACCTTGCATCCACTAAAAGCTGCCATTAAAGAAAAATTAAATAAAATGATATACATAGGCAAGGTTGTAGAAAAATGAGAACTTTTGTTTACTGCTAGAGGTAATAAAAAATGACATAGGTCCTAACTATATGATATCATAATGTTACTTCTGTGTCTATTTCTAAAATAATTAAAAGCAAGAACATATGAAGATCTTAATACACACACACAACAGCTTACTCAAAATAATACGCACTGAGTGTTTAAAAGACAAATGGAAAGTTACATTATGCAATTTACAGCTTTGAATGTTGCTTAACCTACAAAAGAGGAAAATGCTGGCAGCCTGACAATGGTGCTACAACATGGAGCTATTTGGAGGACAAAAGGCTAATTAAAATAAGCCAGTATCGGAACAAAAACTGTATCATCTCATGTATTACAAGTGTCTAGATCCGTCAATTGTCTAGAGACAGAAGGCAGATGATAAGGACCAGCAGTGAGTGACAGGAAGAAGGAGAGTTATTGTTTAAAGGTGTTGTATCAATTACTTTTTGGTTGCTGTGATAAGACACCACCACCAATTTATGGCAATTTATGGGAGAAAGAATAAATTTTGACTTACGGTTTCAGGTGGATAAAAGTTCATTATGGGAGGAAGGCATGGCAGCAGGAACAGAAAGCTGAAGGCTTATATCTTAGTCACAAGTACAAAACACACAAGGGAAAACAAGGAAAGTCACCAGACTCCTAATCTCAAAGCCCTCCCACAGTAACCTACTTCCAGCAGCAAGTCTGCACCATCTAAACCTCAGCAAAATAGTGTTACCAACTGGGTATCAAGTGCCTAAATGCCCAAGACTATAGGAAGCATTTCTTCTCTAAACCACCACAGGTATAAACTTTATCATGGTGACAACTTTGGCATATAAATAGGGTTGATGGTAACACACCTAACTATGTAAATGCTATTAATGTCAGTGAAATGTATGTTTCAGAATGAATAAAATGCTGTGACAGTTGGAATTATCTGAAGAAACAGAAAGAAAAAAAGTGTGTATGTGTGACCGGGATGAAAACATCATGGAAGCTAAGTCCTAAAATCTGAAGTTGTCAAGTTGGAAGGCTGATAATGTAAATTTCAACCCAAAGGACACAGGCAGGCTTCAGACCCAAGAAAAGCCTATGTTTCCTTCATATGTCACCACGCAGGAAGAATTCTATTGCTGGAGAGCAGGGGAAGCCTTGTGTTCTCTTCTGCTCTCCTGCTGATTAGATGAGGCCTGCCCACAACCAAAAAGGAACATAAACTTCTCTCATTGTCATCATTTAGATGACAGTCTCATCTAAAAACACCCTCACAGAAACATAGGCCAAATATGAAAGCCCTACCTGACGTTGTCAAGTTAACACACAAAGTTAGCTGTCACAGATAGAAACTTCTGTTACATATATGTGCTTTATCACGATTAAAAACTTCTTTTAAAAATAAGTGAAGCTGCCAAAAGAAAATAGAAACCAACCAAAAGACAAGACAAAGAAAGTATCACATAATGGAAAGGCTAAGAGACAATGTAATTTTATGTAAAGATTTTACTAAACAGTCTCTCAGTTGCTTTGCTCTGCTTTCTTCAATGTCGTAAGTTCTAGTTTTGCTTCTATTACTATAATAAAATTATACTCTGACAAAAGGCAACCTTGGGTAAGACAGGTTTATTTGGCTTGCAATTTCTCCCATGAGGGAGACATCAGTGCAGAAAACAGAAGCAACTAGTGGAAGTCAAGAACAGAGAGAAATGTATGTGTGTATGCTTGTCGGTTTGCTTATACTCATCTTAATCTCTTCCTCCAATGCACCTGCTGCACACACCCATAATAAGCAAGGTCTTTTCAAATCAACTAACTAAAAGAAAACAAGAAAGAACCCACAAACATTCCCACATGCCAATCTAATGTACACAACCCTTCACTGAGATCTCGCCATAAATGATTCTAAGTTGTGTCACGTTAATAATTAAAGCTAACAATTATAATGTATTTATGTCTTGGTTGCTTGGTATATTTGAACAAATCATACAAGTCAAGTTAGAAAATAACAAGCAATCACAAGAATCTTCTCTGCAGTTTGGCTTGTCTGAGAGTGAGTCTCAGCAGTCTATTGTTTACTCAGGACATGAGGGCCAGAGAGGTGGGTAGTAAATCTGCTCACTTTCAGGGACTTCCTGGAAGTAAGTTGAGTTGTTAACTGCTTTTTAAGGTGCTCCATGGACAGTTTAGCTGTAGGCATGTTGTGACTCTGCTGAAAGAATATACCAAGCATGATTTCTGTTTTTCCCTCCATGCTCAGCTGGCATTTAGGTAGTCTTATGTCACAACCACTAGCATTCTATCCTTGTTCTTGAGCCAACCATAGCTACTCAATCCCAAAGTCATATGGTATTCTGTACTATTGTTACATAAATTCTGTCATGACCCATAATTTCAGGCCTCCCCTATTCCTCCTCTCTAGCACATTTTTCCTGCCTGTCTTCCAGGCTAACATTCTGCCACAAAGTGGATGTGGGTATGTATTCAAAATCAGATACTATAGCATGAATTCTAATTCATTTTATTAATAAAAAAAATCCAGAGTCAGATATAGGGGTTAATGCTAAAGATCAAAGAAGCAAAACATCCAGTCAATAGAGAGTTCTTATTTCTACCAATGCTCAGATAAAATGGGTGATCCCATCCTCAGGCTGCATCCTCACTGATCTGTTCCTCAGACTGCAATGCCCCTCACACTGCTATGCTCCTCAGACTGCCTTTTATTCTCTCTCCACACAGCCATATTACTCCTGTCTCCCTAGTGCTGGAATTATATGCGTGGGATCCCAAGTGCTGTAATCACCTTTATGTTCACTTTGTTTCTCTTTGAGACTGGATCAATTTTATGTAACTCAGGGTGACCTTGAACTAACAGAGATCTGCCTACCTCTGTCTCCCAAGTCCTGGGATTAAAGGTGTATGTCATCACTGCCTGGCCTCTGTGGCTAACTAGTGTGTCTAGGTTTGCACTCTGATCTTCAGGCAAACTTTATTTGGTAGATCATAAACAAAATATCACCACAAGACATAAAATGGGAGGAAAGGACACGTGATCCAGGAGCAGGCCTGGTCTTTCACTCTATCAAGGTTGAAAGCATCACCAGGGACCAGAGTTGGCCTTAAAAGAAGGCATCCAGCCAGCATGTTCCCATGTTCACTGGAATGCCCTTGTCCACAGTACTAGCTGGTCTTTGCAGTAATTTTTCTTCCAGATGTTTGACTCCAGAGCACAGAAGCAGAAATTTCCATCCCTTTAGTAGCAGTACTTGGCTGTGTTTTCTACACTGTCTCTGATATTCTACTTGATTCCAATATCTCCCCTTCTTCCAGAGTCCTTGAGATGAGAGTTTTCAACTATCTTTGATTCCCAATCTAGAAAGTCAGTTTGTCTATAGAAATGGTACAATGAATAATGACTACATGAGGAATTAGTAGCAGGGACAGCTTTTAAAGAATTCATGACTCACTCTTTGGAATTTTAGGAGACTTTTCTATCATTTTTCCATTACAGAGTCAAAGATTCTAGGACATTTTAGCATAAATTATGTTGGTCATGCCATCTGCTCTCTATCCACTCTGTTCCAACCATCGGTCTCTGGGGACTTGGTCACCTTTGCATCAGTTGCTTATGTTTCGACTTTGTTAATTAAGCTGTTTAGAAATGAATTCTTCTGCTAATCATGGATGCGTGGAAGAGAACCCAATGTCTCAGAGGAGACGCCAGCCCCATCCAGTATCTTAATTGTAGCCTTCTGACATCCTTAGCTTAGGAAATGGCTAAGCCATTCTCCATTTTCTGACCCACAGACACCATGAGATAACAAATATATGTTGTTTAAGCTGCTAAATTACAGCAATTTGTCACATACAATAGAAAACAAATACAAGCAATGAGCAATACTGTATCATTATAGTAGAGACTTTTATTCCATGAAACTCATGTACAAAAGTGTAACTTTACAAACTTAATCTCTATTTGAAGTACCTCTATTTGAACAATGATAAATTGTTCAAATTAAACCTGAGTCACTCGAGATTTCTTGTTTATTCCCTATATTTCAGTGTGATAGTTAACATTATGTTTAAAGTTTAATCTTACTATGCTTGGGGGAGCAAAAAGCAAAATGCCTCTATCATATACAAGACCCTGG